CGCGGGGCACCCGGGCAAGCGGAAGTGCGCCCCAGATCTGAGCCTCCACGGCGGTGGCTCGCTCCAGCGGCGTTGCGACACCTCGGATCGGCGGAGACGTGGAGGGCTTTGTGGACTGGTCGGCTGCGGGCGTGGTTGGCCCTCCGGTCAGGTTTGATCTGGCCAGAGTGGCTTGCTCGCTCCGCGACGACACATATCGGTGGTGGTCCGTGCACCACGATACAAGAAGGAGGTTCGTCGAGCGGACCCGAGTGAAAACCTCACTCTCGTGTTGTTGCCAAGACCGGCAATGACAGAACTCTTTTGTGTCATTACGTTCTTGAGGGTGTCGCCGTGGAGAACCTACAGACCTCTGTCCGCTACCTCCGGGGGAAACCCTAGATCAGTAGATCGCATGACGGCGACGCTCTGGAGTCGTTTCCCCCTTGAAGGCGTCATTCTTGGAGGTGTACACATGCTCGAGGGACCAGTGGACGACTTCTTTGGTGGAGTGGTGCTTCATCTTACTCATTGATGGCGTCAGATCTCGGCAGCGTGGCGCAGTGGAGACTCGACGTCTGATGCGCGGAGAGGCCTAGCAAGGTGGGTGCGTTAGTTTCTGCTCTGAAGATGGATTGGTGGAAGATGGCGACGACGACACATGAGAGTGCGTCGGACCGGTTTGTGCCCCAAACCTAGTATCTGGCTCGGTTGGGGCCTTTGGCTTTAGATGTTAGGCTTTTGTGCGATTTCTATTTGGTATTAGATTCGGACTATCGGCACTTCTTCACCAAGTGGATAGGAGTAGCTATAATTGTTGCTAAGATAGTTGCTTCAGACTACCTGATGTACTATTTTATAAGGTCTTTATGAATAACTAGTAGAGTGCCCGTGCGTCGCATCATGCTTTTTAAAAGATTTAACTAGTAGCATATGTTTTTAGATGTCCTAATTGTATATGTAACATAATGCATGCCAAATTTTACATGTATAAAAGAGATGAACAATAATAGATGAAAAATAATATAAATCCACTTTAAAAAAATTAAATCTATTTTAATTGCATTCATATCGTCCGGATGCAGAGGGGAGGCTAATCCTCCCTTTTTTTTTAAAAGCTACGCAGGTCACTATCTACGGGATAAAAGCCAATTATGGAGAGCGTATCGAGCCCGCCCAGAATTGGCTACTGGCGCGTATCGAGCCCGCGCAAAATTTGTACGCGCGCGAAGTTTCCCCAATTCTCTCCCGAACGCGCCCGAAGACCCTCATATTCCCCAATCCTCTCCCGTGTACACGCGCGAAGATTTCCCCCCAAATCCCACTCCAACGGTGAGAGCGCCGCCAAAATAGCACGGGGGCACAGCTCATCCATAGCCGCGTCGCCCGTGCCCTCTTCAAGCCATCGCCATTGCAGGCCTGGGATGTCGCGGCTGCCGCTGCAGAGGGGCCGCCGTCGCCGCTGCTGCTGCAGGGCTCCCCCGGCTGCCGCTGTAGAGGGGTCGCCGCCGCCGCTGCAGAGGGTCCGCCGCTGTGGAGCTTGACCGACCTGCCGCCCTCGACAACAGTTTCAGGCGGAGGTCTCCGTGCTGCTGCAACCCTGCCTCCCTAGAAGAATCCTACCCTGCCTCCCTTGACTAGTACATCCTCGATCTGCAACCTACTCAACTATGGAAAGGCGTCTTCTTCAACTTCAGAATCAAGGCTCCATTAGGTGAGCTCACCGGACAATGTTTCCCTCATGTTCCTATATGTGTCTGATGCATTCAGTTTAGGGATCGGTAAATGAATTATTTTAGAGATCTGTTGTACTCCATGAAGATGAAGCTCACATCTAGGAAGTTGTCATCGCTAAAAACTGTCTATTTGTATTGTGATTAAAACTGGCTATTTCTCCATCTCACAAAACTGTAAACTGGATTTTTTAGAGATATTTGCTGTACTCCAATGTCTCCCTCATGTTTCTACATGCGCTCACATGAAGTTGATAACAAATTTTCTATTTGTGTTGTGATTAAATAAAAGATAAGTTTTGTATCTTTCCTTAATTAAGTGAAGTGAACCTATTGGTTGATATAAATGTACAGTGCTCTGTTTTGATAATGTGCTTAATATATTTCTGTGGAGAACCATTGCTTTAACCTTGTGTAATGTAACAAAATGAAGTCTGTAGGTCCTTCGTCTGCACCGTGCTGCCATTTTTTCAATTATCCCGCCATGTCTCTAGAAGAACAACATAGTTGGATTGTACAGTGGGTGGAATGAACAAGGGCGCCATTCTGAAGAGTGGGTGCGCAACACAACAACTTTTCGTGACCATGTTTTTCAGATTATGCCTAATGCTGACCGGTTTGGTGTGAAGTGCCCATGCACAAATTGTTGTAATGGAGTCAGGCAGAAGAAAAGGCAGAAGAAAAGTCAGAGTGCACCTTTGTCAGTATGTGTAATTTTAGTTATGTGTTCTGTGGACTTACTAATGCATTTCAATTCAGTTTTACAGGATGGCAATTTCGCACCACCACCGCCGGGGGTCGTCCTCTACTAGCAGTGCTACTACAAGCCCTCCACCGGCGAATCAACAAATGATGTTGAAAATATGGATAATACATTGCAAGGAGTGGAAGATGGAATGTTTGGCGGCTTCTTTGATGCAAATGGTAATGATGCGAATGGTGTTGCTACTGGAACTTTCTCCCCACCTAGTGATGATTTACCTACATTTTTTATATCTCTCATCATGGTGAAGGAAGTGGTCTGAACTTTTTTTGTTGATTAATTGGAAGCAAATGGACAATTATCCTTTTGGCCATGCACTTGGTATGGTTGTGATGTCTTGGATCAGTGACTTATATGATGCATGTTGTATTATTCCAGGTTACTAATTGGCAATCCTAGGTATAGATGACATTTTGTGAGTCCTAGTTACTGAGCTAGATGCCATTTTTTGTAAAGAGTGGAGCTAGATGCCATCTTTTGTAAAAAGTGGTACTATTGTGTAAACTCTTCGTTGTTGTAATGTATAATGATGAATGATGGTGGTTAAAGTACATAATTTATGTGATCGTTCTCTAATTTTTGGAGTGATTACATACAATTATTTGTAATAGTTTAATTTCTATGGAACAATATTAATTTGCCCCAATAATACAATATTTTGAATAACGATTCCCTAGGGTTTGTAAACCCAAGGGGTATAAAATGGACTAACAGCAACTGCCGTTACATAATATTTCTCTAGGGAGTGAAACTAACCCAAAGGATATTTACTTTACATGTCAGCATGCTTGCCACCCGTCGCTTGTTTCCCTAGGGTACAAAGCTCAAGGGAAAAAGAACTATACCTAGGGTTTTCTTTCCTCACCCTAGGGAAACCGAGATTCCCCCACCAATAGTTCCCTAGGTCGGTTTCCCTAGGGGATACACTAAGGAAACCCCTTTCCCTAGCGTTTTTGCCCATTTGCTTAGGGTATCAAGCCCTAGGGCTATCTGCAAAATCTAGTAGTGAAAAGATAAATAAAAATAAATATCAAGAAAATTGCTAAAGAAATACAGGAAGCTAAAAAACTGCAAGAAAAATTGATAAAAAGCAACACGGGAAATACGCAAAAAGATGCGCCTAGAAGACAGCTCCTGCTAGACGCAGAATTGGGTCGTCCAATAACATACTCGCATATTGCAAGAAATACCTTCCGCGTCAAGCCATCACTCGCACTTTCGCTTTTGTTTCCCTACAAATGGCTTTCGGTTTTCCTTTCAAGTAACCTTTAAGCTGTTTTTTCTTCTGTGAATAGGCTAGTCTTACTCATATCAGCATGGATTACACTCTGCTCGACAGAGTTTGGAGAGATTGGCACGGCCTTAACCCGAACCAAACCGTTGTATGAATTTCAACACGAGCATAATTTGCCGAAGAGTGACTAGAAGTATTTTGACTATGATTTACATGCGTGATACAAGATTGGCGACACCATAATTATGGCTTAGATTTCCTGCACCAGAGCGGTATATAGAGAGTGATCCGCGTTAGCATGTTGAACCATCTTCACTGGCTCCGTGCAATCCGCTTCCACAATAACCGGAGACCGGAGTAGCACGACTGAGACGCCAGGGCTAAACCCTCCATGTAGGTCATCAGCTCCGACTCAAGTTTCCGTTTGCCAGTTTCTAGGAACTTTGAAACTATAGATGTTTTGATTGCAATGAAATGTCACTTACCACATGTAATGCATTTAAGGTGACCTCGAATAGTCTCTGAATGGCCACAAGTATCATGTGGCGTCAATATTGCTATAGTGTCATTTTTGGCAACATCTGTTAGAGTTGCTCTTATAAAGTAGACCAACAATATGCCTGAATCCGCCATTTTGATGCCTGAATTCTATTCAAATGATGAAGGGGTGCAAGCTGGGCCACATACCCAGACCTCTCACCTAAGCCTAACATCTAAAGCCGGAGGCCCTGACCGAGCCATCTGCCAGGTCTGGGGCTAACCGGTCCGACGCTTTCACTGGTCCATTTTCAGAGCAGATTGAGGTGACAACCTTGGCAGAACCACCTTCACGTGGTATGTAACGGCTATGGGTGCAAGCATGTATCCCGCGAAGTTTACATACAGGTATGATATATCAAAAGCCAATTACGTGTTAATCTTGAGTAACTACTACACACGATCGACTTTTAATATACTTGTAGGTTCTGCTTGCATCCCTAATCGTGCGGGTGGTGTATGCTTCACACAAAAGGAGATAAATTGAGAAGCCCAGAGTTTCTCTGCGAAGCTCCTGTGAACGAGCCGATTAGAAATGTTGCAGAAAAGGTTCAGCAGGACATTACGTACACACGCCATGCAATGCAAACCACCCAAACTTGCTTTACATGTACACGTAAAATGTACCAGCCGTAGATACAAATGGTGAAAGAAACCCAACCAATCAAACAGATATGCACACAGACTCATCGGGCGGCCGGCGTCCGCGGCCGGTGTCCGACCACCCGATCGAAAAGAGGGGCTACCGACCGAGCTACTGGTAGCGCGTGGCGATGCGCAGCATGACGGTGGCCGCGACGGTGACCCCGTAGAAGACGATGAAGAGGCCGGTGACGTTGATGAGCCTGGCCTCGGTGCCGGGCGTGGCGCTGGCGCTCTTCTGGACGAGCCCCGTCTGCGCGGCGCAGACGCCGAGGAGGAAGATGACGAGCCCGCCGGCGACGTGCACGGGGGCCGCGGCGGCGCGCGTGTGCTCGTGCGTGCCGGGCATCCAGAAGACGGCGAAGCCGATGAGCCACTGCAGCGCGAAGAGGGAGATGGCGCCGATGCCGATCCAGGAGTGGAGGCTCACAAGGTCCGGCACCACGGCCACGTTGTGGAACTTGAAGGCCGCGTAGATGCCGAAGACGCCGAGGACGAAGGCCACCAGGTGCACCAGCATGTGCACCATCTTCTGCGCCCGGTGGTTCATTGGGATCGTCGTGTACACCAGTATGGCTGCACAAATGTTGTAAGACTTTAGCTACCACGGCACATGTTAATTTCGCCTAAGGATAATGTACCAATCGTATGCCAGTTGCGAGATGGATGATGAGCTTGGCAGGAAAACGTAGCGATCCACGGTGGTCATTATCGGCATCATCCGAGGTGACCTTTGGCATGGACGCCCACCCAGCACACTCATTGGCACTTCAGAATGAGACTGGTCCGGTGCTTTTGCGGCCACCAAACACCTAGAAAGCCCTACTACGTACCAATCTGGTCTAAAATGTAGTGTGCTGACACACTCACACCTTGTCTTTTTTTTGCAATGGAATTTCGGCCATGTCAACAGCAGTAGCAACATCAACAGCTACACCTTCAGGTGCTTTTGGCAATTAATAATGATTCTGTTGCGACGTTTTGCTAAACTTCATGTACACTCATATACTTGTATATCTATCTCCCCTAAACCTTAGTTACGATTCCCACAAAAAGGTAAAGCTTGGTTAAGGACTTAAGGTCACTGTGTTTGGGAGTTGGTAATAAAGACGACATTGACAATTCAGGGCAGTGTGCATTGGACGTACCTTCACCGATGAGAAGAATGAACCCCCATGTCATCACAAAGGGATGGACCTGCATCACAGAAAGGAGAGATCAATACTGCAAGTGCATAAGGCCGGCCAGTTTAATCTACAGAACTGTTTCTGTAAACAAAATAAGAACAGAGAGATCGAGGAACTGTGCGTGTGCATTAACCGGAACGTACGTTGAAGATCTGCTCGGGGTCGTCGGACTGGATGTTGATGCCGCCGCGGAAGCGCAGGAGCCAGACGAGCATGAGCACGGCGGTGGTGAGGAAGAGCAGGTGGGCGAACATGGCCACGCGCGACGCCACCACGGAGTGCCGGTGGTGGCCGCCGATGATCCCGCCGATCGCCATTCCCACGCCTAGCTAGCTAGCTACCTCCCGCCCTAGCTTGGCTCTGGTCGCCGGCGAGCAGGGTTAGAATGGATGACGGGGATCAGTAAGCTGGCCTTTGTTCTTCTGCATGGGCGCGCGCGGGGCTGGGTTTTAACGTGGCCACCGGGAATCCCAGGTTACACCGGGGCGGAGGCTTGGGTTTGGTATATCGGCGAGCTGGGCGTGCGTGTTGAAAGCAAGGCATCTCCGGCTGTGTGTATGCGACGGTGATGGTGATGGTGATGGCTTTGCAATGCAGGGAAGCAAGTAATCCCCAAGAATGCTGACAGCATGTCGATCGACGACGACATTTTCTTCTTGAGACATATATCGCCGGCACTGAGCCGTAAGCATCAGAACGGGCCGTAGCCCGTAAGCTAGCCTGTCGAAACGAGTCCAAAGCCATAATGCATGCTCTCTCTTTTTTTTTTTTGAGACACTAATGCATGCTCTCTAAATAAGCCCCAGCAGTATCACCGGACCGAGCTCATAACAAGCCTAGCCACGCAAACACCTCCTCACGTGCCCGAGTTGGGCCAGCCAAGGCACGTGGGAGCCATAGCTTTGTTGTTGTTGTTTTTTTCACTTTTCTGTTCTTGTTTTTTGCTTTCTTTTTTTATACTTTCAAGTATTCTAAGTAAAATTATAACCAAAATAACTCTACATAAAACATTATTTAAATGTTGACCAAGCATTCAAAAAATGTTAAATGTGAATAGGAACAAATTACCACGTACGAAAAATGTATACAGGAAGAATACAATGTGTATGATACAATTTGATCATGTATATTCAAAATGTTAGAAATGTTGAATAAGTATTTTTTTAACTATGCATAGAAAAAATGTTGACCATGTATTGAAAAATGATGAACTTTTGGTCATGTATATAAAAATGTTAATCAAGCATTTGAAAAAAAACGTTGAACAAGTCTTTGGAAAATATTAATCAAGCATTCTAAAAATCTTAAATGTGTATAGGAAAAATATTAAACATGTATTAAAAAACTGATGATTTTCATACAATGTATATAAAAATATTAATCAAGCATTTGAACAAATGTTGAACAATTATTACAAAAAAGTTAATCAAGCATTTAAAAAATATTAAAGGTGCATAGAAAAAATGTTTACCATGTATTAACAAATCTTAGCATTTTTTGGAAAATTTCAATCAAGTATTAAAAATAGTAAAATGTGTATAGAAAAAATGTTGACTATGTTTTAAAAAAATGTTTTTGAAAAATGTTAATCCAATATTTTCAAAATGTTTTAAATGTTTATAGAAAAATGTTGACTATGTTTTAAAAAAATGTTTTTGAAAAATGTTAATCCAATATTTTCAAAATGTTTTAAATGTTTGTAGAAAAAATGTTGACTATGTATTAGTAAAATATATTAAATTTGAGTTAAAAAATAGGTTGGATATATACGCAAGATGTTTAGAGAAGAAATATTAACCATGTATTACAAAACCAATAAAAATGTATTAGATATATAGATAAAAGTGTGTGTACAAAATCGATGACGCACCAAGGAAAAGAAAAAGAAATGGAAATGGAAAAAGATAAATAAACAAATTAAACCAAAGAAAAATAAAATAAAAAAGTCATTGGAAACCAAGAAATAAACAAATAAAACCGAAGCAATACAAAGGAAAAAACCAGTAATAACAGAAAAGGAAATAAATAAAAACAGGGAAAAAACTAATACAAACCCGGTAAACTAGTGGAAACCCCAAGGGAAAACAAAAAAAACAATAAAAACGTGAAAGAGACAAACAAAAACGAAGTAAGACGAAAAAATGAACCGTTGAAAACCTAGAAAGAAATAAAACTAAAGAAAAAGAAAGAAATAAGACAAAAAATAGTGAATATGATGAAATAAAAAAATGTTGTAAAAAAAAGAAAAACCAATAGAAAATCGGGCGTTTTACCCTGAAATTTCCGCCCACTATACCAGGGTTCAAATCTTGTGTGCGCTCCAACTTTTCTTTTCCCTTTTTTTAAGTGTGCGCTAAGGGGCCGGCTCAATTACTTGTGTGAGGAGCTATTCCCTTCGGCGAGAATAGCTTTCATCTAGTTTAAGGCCAAATATAGGTCCCGCGAGGGGCGTTGCTGGGAGCCCTCCAATTCCTATCTGGTGCCCGCTTATCAGAAACTGGCGCACCCCGCCTACCCCCTTCCACATCACTGTGTATCTAAATGGAACGATCCATAGATGGGGTTTTCTCCTCTTTTTTTTAAACCTTTCCATGACTAGGAATACGTTCATGTTGCCACTCTCCTCCAATGTCAATTTGCATTTGCAAAGTTGAATGCACATTTGAGAATGATCCCTGTAGTTATTTGATTTTTGTGTCAATAGTATGTGTTAGTTTAACCCACTCTATTATATTGTAAATATGAAAATTTTCATCCTTATTGCAATGAACGGCGAAGATGAGGTGGACGTCATCTGCTTTTAAAGGAGGTGGCTCCAGCAAGAAAAAAAAGGAGAAATGTCCCGCTACTGCGGAAAATCGGTCGGGAATTAAGAGGTTCCGACAGAAAAAGGGAAGGTGTGTCATTGGATGGGGGTTTTGTGTTGAACCTGGGTGTTACAGATATTGCGGATAGCCCGTAGTAATGCACGGGCGTTCTGCCAGTACAAAATCTAGACGAGTTTGTGCACAAAATTAGTACGCATCGGATAATACAAAATCTAAAAAAAAATGAGTTGAAGACGGGTTGGACGGACGAAATTACGGTGGTTATCACACAAATGTAAGGATGAGCCTCCATGTGGCATGTGAAAATGGAAATGTATCGTGTGCTCCCAGCGTTTTGGGTACCGAGTGAAATTTCGTGATCTCGCACGGTTACCGCGTTTACCGTCCCCCCTCGAGAAACACTCATACCGAGCAAAATATCTTGAATATTTTGAAACTTTTGAATTCAAACGCTCACTGTCAAGTTAATTGGACACCATCTCTTTTATTACCACAGAACTCGTAGTGGCCTGGTGGCAAAGGCATTCATATGTATTTGTGTCCACGTCAAAAATATTTGAATCCAAATTTTGATTTTAAATTTCGTCGGGATTTTTTTCCAGAATTTTGCGGTTACCGTGGCGGTAACCGCAAATTCCGGTGACCCTTCAGTAAAAAAAGTGTGATTGGGATCCAAAACCTTGCATGTTTCCAATGACTATGCTCAAAACACACACCAAGAAAACATGCGGAGGTTGCAGAAAAGCCGGAGGATCGTAACCGCAGCTGCTGCCACAATTTTGGTGGGTTGGCGGTTCTAGAAGACGTGCATGCGTCCACCAGATCACTTTTCTGGGGCAGAGGGAATTTCGGATTGTTTCCAAATGACAGCACATGATCGCGTCCTGCATATGCAGAGCATGTTTCTATTCTTGTTTACACATGATGGCGATACTGAGGCTGCATTCGTGTTGCCTGACTAATCACTCTGTTCCAATTTTGTACGGAATCCTGCTCTAGCTACTACAAAGTTATAATCGATGTGTCAATTTGACCACGGTGTTCATTTCTCCGGAACTTGTATAGAGTGGCCAGCAATGTTCCTTTATTTTTTACCTCAAAAAAGTAGCCAGCAATGTTCCTTTATTTTTTTACCTCAAAAAAGTAGTCAGCAATGTTGATCCCACGGATCTCGGACCTGGAGGTTTGCGTGTTAACATGTAGTAATACGATGGATGGTGACTGACAAGGCTTTTCTATTACTTGTTCTACTTGTATACGTCATACTCTGAATTGGCATGGTGTACCGGGAGAAGCTTGCATCGTGCATCGCTGAGAATCCGGCATCGCTGCCTGCACGTCGCCGTCCGGGGCTCCGGGCTATAAATGCTACTGTAGTACCTCGAGTTATTTACCCAAACCCACCGCAGCTGGGGCTAGGGTAACAGGTCAGTATCACATTTGAGTCATGTCACAGAAAACCATCAACTCTGGGACTAATTGGTAACGTAGAGCACGGACGGGCCATTTTAGCCGTGGAAACAGCGAATCCGACAGGTCGGGCCCACCTGTCGGGTCGACTGGCGCGGGCTGACGGGCTTTTAATACCTGCGAACAAAGACTCTCAGGTTTAGTCAAAAGCCTCCAAGCTTGCCGCGCCAGCAATGCCTGGTTAAACGCCCTGAAATCACGAAACCCCAGTCCACCACTGAGTTTGTGCCTCTGAATTTTGGGCCATGCCTGCCAATAAGTTTTGCGCTTTCCCTCGAAAGCTCCCCACCAAAAGTTTCTTACCATCCTATTAAGATCATCACACACGGACACTGGAAGAACACCCCCATCATATAAGTGGGGATAGCTTGCGCGACTGACTTGATCATCGCCTCTTTCCGGGCCAAAGAAAGTGTATCACCCCATGCAATAATTCTTTTAGTGAGCCTTGCTTGCAGATTTTGACACTTCCTTTTTGACATTCTACCTTAGCCGCAAGTGTATCACACCATCTCTTTTATGACAGTAGAGGCATCCTTGCGATCCAAAAACTTGCGTGTTCCCAATGGCGAACATGCGGGGAGGTTGCATGTTTCTATTCTTGTTTACACACCGTCGCGATATTGAGGCTGGATTCGTGGTGCCTGACTAATCACTCTGTTCCAATTTTGTTCTACTTGTATACTGAGGGCTTCTTTGATTCAAAGGATTCTCAAAGGAATTTTGGAGGATTCTAATCTTTAGGAATTTTTTCTATCTTGGTTGTTTGATTCGAAGGATTGTAAACCATAGGAATTTTTTCATAGGATTCATTTGCACTAGATTTCATAAGAAACATCCCATCCACTCAAACCTGTTTGAAAGAATCCTGCATTTTTTTATGCACAATCAAACACTCGTACAATCCTATAGGATTCAAGACAACATTTCACTCTAATCCCATGTTTTTCCTATTCCCGCATTTTGAAAATCCTATGAATCAAAGAGGCCCTGAATTGGCATGGCGTACCGGGAGAAGCGTGCATGGCGTACCGGGAGAAGCGTGCATCGTGCATCGCGAATCCTGCATCGCTGCACGTCGCCGTCCGGGGCTCCGGGCTATAAATACCAGTACCTCCGCCACCATTGATCTCTGCCTCACAGACACACACACGCACACAGACGACTCCACACAGAGAGACAGAAGAAAGGGATGGCGACGACCCGCGTGAGCCTGCTCCTCCTGCTAGCAGTTGCGCTCGCCGGCTCTGTTGCCGGGGCATCGGCCTTCACCTGCACGTCGGGTCCTTGCTACAACGGCACGGCCGCTTTCTACGGCGACGCCGACGGCGCGGGGAATGAAGGTAATCGTAACGAGCAGTACACTGCAATTCTATGCACGCACCTCTGCTGCTTATGTTGGCTTATCTGTTCCCATCCATTCTGCTGCTCTTTTTCTTTTCCAGCTGGAGTATGCGGTTACGGGCCAGCGGTGGCCAAGCCGCCGTTCAACGCCATGGTTTTTGCAGCAAGAGATTACTCGCGGACCGCCGTGGGATGCGGCAGATGCTTCAACATAACCTGTCGACACCCCGTGTGCAATCCTGATGGAGTCACGGTAACGTTCGCCGACTACTGCAGCGGCGGACCGTGCGTCGACAACGACGTCATTGAGATGAGCGGCCACGCGTTTTCCGCGATGGCCCTGCCGGGCCGAGAATCCGAGCTGCGCGCGTCACCCACTGTTCCTGTAACTTACCAACTGTAAGTCGGGGGCAAATTAAGTTTGATACGTCAAGTTTCTCTTCTCTGACATCTTTCTGTATGTACACTAACACTAGGATTTTGCAGAGTTGACTGCCGCTACTCATCCAGCATGGCCTACCTCGTCGACCCGACCGCGACACCGGAGCGCTTCACTGTCGTACTCCTCTATGTGCCAGGGGATGCCTACCCCGGCCTGCTGACTGTTCACTTCAAAGATGAGTCGAGCGAGGACTGGGTGGATGCTGATCCCGTTGGTCGCTATAGGCTCCCCAAATTCACAGCCACTAGGAAGATGGTAGCCCCAATTACGATCAAGGTGGAAGGTCACTATCTTTTTTTTTTTTGCGGGTAAAGGTCACTATCTGATTGGGCCAGCGCCGGAGAACCCCACCTGGAGTGTCACGGCGGCAGATGTCATCCCCGTCGGCTGGCACGGGGGGAAGACCTACTACGCGGCCTGAGCAGAGCTCACCTTACACGGGTAATAGAAACGTTCAGTGCGGTCCGAGTGATGTACTCCCTCCATTTCAAAATATAGTGCGCTCACGCTTTCCGAGGTCCAACTTTGACCATAAATTTAACCAACGAGACCAACTGTGGCGGGAGAAAAAATTATATAATTGAATACTTCTTTCGAATACGAATTCACTGATATAATTTTTGCTCCCGCCGCAATCGGTCTTGGTAGTTAAATTTACGGTCAAAGTTGAAGCACGTGGATAGAGGAAGCACTACATTGTAGAATTGAGGGAGTAGTAAGTAACCCATGATATCCTGGTTGAGCCTGTTCAACCCGACCACTGTAATAAAAGTACTAGCTGGCAGAGACTCAATTGTTTCTTATCTTGCTGTTAGTATGAGTGTTCGAGCATGAAAGTACATTCTAAAATCAGCCGCTATTATTTAATGCATGATGAGTGTAACGTTAATTATAAAATTGCTTATGAGAATAGCGAGCGTGGCCTACAAAAAAAACCACTAGATGGAACAAGGAACGTACGGACTATTAGCGATAGATCCGGACGATTCATCTATGGTCACTGTTGGCGTGTTGATTTTTCGTTCTTTTTTAATACAAAAATAAACACATTTAGTCAAATCTTTTCCCTAATGGCTGCATACATGCATATAGGACAAAACTGCTGATGTCATTAAAGATTCCATCCAATTTAAAACTTTAAAATGTTTTGTAGGTCAAATCATCGCTCCGGTTGAAAAACTGTTTTCACATAAAAGATTCGCCGCGATGATACCTTCGAAACTAGATCCCATGTTGGTATATTTTGATGACTTTTTTTTTTGGGTCAAAAGTTACCACACCTAGGCTAAATAAGTTATCGCCCCTATGGTACGTCAGTTATCATCATGTTTACATAGAAATCACCGGGGCATAAAAATGCCTCCTCCAACATTCTCTCCACATACAAATGCATTAGAGCACATGAAACCAGATGTCATTGTAGATTCTCGCTATTTCAAAACTGTAAAAAAAAATATAGATCAAACTGTCGTTCTGATTAAAAAATAGTTTTCACTTAAAAAATTCGGTGCAACAAGAACTTTCAAACTAGATCTCATGTTGGCATGTTTTGATCATTTTTTTGGTCAAAAAGTTACCGTAAAGTTATCAGTTATGTTATTCATACAGAAGTGACTGGAGCTGTGTTTTCAACGACTTCTTTCCACCTGGTCAACATTACCGTGGTATTTATACCTAAGTTATCAGCTCGTGGTGCATATAACACCGTGCTATTTTGCATAGAAATAACCAGGGTATATTTCAACAATTTTTTATTCGGGACTAAAGTTACCGGGGTGTTTGTACCTAACTTATCAGGTCTGCGATGTGTGATTTATCATGCTATTCACAAAAAAAAAATTACAGGGGGAGAGGGGATATTTCACCAATAGCCCTCCCCCCACCACCGTCGCCAAAGGTTACCAAGACTGGTGTACATAAATTATCAAGTCTGTGATGTGTAAGTTACCATGCTATTCCCATAAACTTACCAGGGGGATATATCATCAACACCCCCCCCTCGCGCAAGTGCCAAAGTTACCATGCCAAATGTACATAAGTTACCAGGTCTACGATGTGTGAGTTACCATGTTATTTACACAAAAGTTACCGAGTGAATGTTTTATCAACTCCCCCCTCACCCCCACCCCCGCACGAAAACTAATAGGGTGTTATCAACTTGAGACGCATGAAACTAGATATCATGATGATTGTACGTGAGTTATAGGAGAAATCCAAAGAAAAAGAACAAGATTTTTTTGCATTTGTTTTCTTATATAGTAGTAAAAAGGTTCAAATAGCTTCTTACCTTTCTATAGACAACAACCTGTAATTGTTGAAATGGCAAGGATGTTTGTCCATAAACACAAGAGGTGCTGGGTTCGAATCCTACATCCAACACTTTTATTTTTCGCACCCGTATTTTCGAAAGAGAAAAAAAAAGGGGACGGTTGGGCCTCCTGTGGAATCGCTAGGTGCGTTCGGACGGCAGCGAAAATAACGGAAAAAGAAAAAACGCAGAGCGCGAGGGAAAACGGGAGGAGTGACGCTACGCGATCGGATCGAACGGCAACCAAATCGTGCGGATATGTTGCAAAAATCCTGCCGGCAGGATTTTAGCTTTTCCGTAATGTAAGCCTCATGGATTTAGATCCAGAGATGGCCCTCCGTGTTGCCATTCTCTGTGCCTTAATGTAAGTAGCAATTCAAGTAGGATTGGTAAGAATTCATAAATAGTGTAATACACTTTTACTTCCAGAACCTTTTTTGTTTTGCGTCCTCCCCTTTCTCTTCGCGTCCTCCGCGTCCTGTGTGAGTTGCAACCTATCCTTCTCAAGCTCAATCTCTCCAAAAGTCTTTGTCTTCTCCAGCCCCCATTTGATCGACGCCTTTTACTTCTCCAACTCGATTTTCTCCCTCTCAATTTCTACCTTCTTCTCCGTCCTCTTCCGGTTCCAATCCATCCTCTTCTTTTGCGCATCTAACATGAGTTTGTACCTCTCCTCTTGTTCTCCCTCACTGAAAAAATACCCGCTGCTCGTCCATGTCTGCTTCTGCTCCTTGCGATGCCAGGATCGCTTCCCTCTCTCGTTGCCGGCGGCGCCGGTTCCTCCGGGCAATGTACCCCGGCTTGCACGGTGAAACCGAGGACGGGGGCGCCGGCGGTGAGGATGGGGAGCAAGGGTGGAGGACGGCGAGGGCTCGGATGCGGAAAAGGGAAGAGGGAGGCGGGACAAGGAGAAAGAGTTTGGTGGATTTGGTGCAATTTATGATGGGATAGGGCTGTTGGGTCCACCCGGGTGCCCGCGTATCCACCCTAGATTTGGGTTGGATGTGAGGGGTGCCGGTCAGCCGGGCGTTTGAGACCGGCTTGAGGAGCCCGTCTGGGTTGATTTTTTCTTACCGGGTCTCCGCCCGGACATTTGAGGTGGGTTTGGGACGCCCGGCTGTAGATGCTCTTACATCTTTCTCTTTCACGAAATATGACATGTTTTGCATAGTGTATTACAACTTTCACAGAGTATGACATATTGTATGCTTATGTATCCTGAGGAAAATCCAGGAATGAAGAGACAACGTGTCAACAGTGAAAAAAAACAAAATATGTTGCTAAAATCTCTTTCTCTAATACTCCACGAAAAATGAAGACACAAAGTGCACGCTCAAGTAGGAGTGGCATCAACTTGCATGGTATGATGGGAACATGGTAGATGATATTTGACCATCCATAAAGCACAAAGCTGAACACCTCCGGCTGCGTTAGCGACAACTTGCATGATATTGTAAATACATTTCCCTGAGATGATGGTAAGTAATATTTGACCATCCATAAAGCAAATTGGACTCCGTCGCCAACATTCATTGCAAGATCTTTCTCTAATATTTGACGTTGATGTACGTCACCTCCACCTCGGAGGTGCGTTTGTACATTCTAGATTCCACCTTAGCGACCCTTTCTACTAAGGCGGAAGACCAGGCCAACTCTTCGTCGAGAGTGGGTAGCTGCCAGTCACTCGAGACTCCGTCGGCATTACAGTGCGGCATCCATTGCAAGATCTGACTCCTGGCGGAGTTGATGTTTAGCGGGATGATGTTTACCGGCAGGAACGGCCCAAAGCGGCCAAATAGCTAAGCGCACAACCAGGCATGGTCGTAAACTGTCAAGTTGTTGGCCAGGCTAGGAAGCAGTCTCATCCTGTTGCCAACATCTCCATACTCCCAAGCAAACCTGCCCCTCCTTTGCAGAGGTGCAATTCAACGAAGGAGAAAATCCGCCCATGCATGCTCGACGGTCAACCCGACAGTCTTCAAACGGGTAATCATGTTTATTGCCGGGCGGAGCCTGACTCAGTGAGGCCGAATGCCCTCCAGACACTATCACGCTCAAGGCACTCCGTTCGTGAATGGCAGAACCCGGGGGCCTCCTCATCCCGAATCCAGCACCAACCCCCCCTCCACTCCCATTTGTTGTTGATTGCCAGAGATATAATCCCAGTTTTCTCTTGGCACTACCCGTGGCATCCAACTTATATTGCCGGAGCGGTGGCTCTTGTTCTCCACCCGCGGGACGAAATAGTGCTTGAACAGATCGACATTGGGGGCCACTCCAACAAAGTTTTCACACAAATGGGCAAAAATCGCCATGCACGCCATTGCATTTGGCGTAAAATCCAAGAGATGGAATCCATAAACCGCCATCATCACCTCAAAGAAATCCGAGAAGGGAGGGCAGAGACCGCAAATGAAGTATGCACAAAAGAACCTGTATGAATCTGGCGGGTCCTCTTCCCCCTCCGCCAGAACCTTGGGAGCGTCGTGCCCATTCGGGACTTCCCTTCCCCACAAGTATGCATACCTCGCCTGTAGCATGTCACCATCGAGTTGCGACGGGAAAAAGACAACGTCTCCCCTTCGCTTCTTGTCCAACTCCGCCGCCTTCTTGCTCCCCTCGGCGACCGTCTCTTTCGCAGCGGCCACCGGCTTACTCCTGCTCGTTGTTTTCTTCCCCATATCCCCAACTTTCGGTAGGGGCGTGGGGAAGAAATCGGGAGGAGATCGGCGGCGAATGTGAATGAAGAACAGGCCGTTGCTGGCTTGCGGGGGAAGAAGATGGAGAAGCAAGGCAGGCGACGAATGAGTAGTTCTTTTCGCATTTTCCCTTATTAAGGGGGACGGCGTGGGAGGGCGCGTCTCTTCAGAAAAGTTACTGTTTTTACATTAACTGCTACAGTCCCACGCCCCCACGACCCGCGGTAATTACGCAAAGTGGACGTTGAATTGACTAGTCATCATGGCGAATCGCCATACGCGCAGCCTTCTTCCGCCACGTGTCCGTGCACTGTTTGGGGCCTAACCCAACATGACTAGCGACACATGTGGCTCAGGCCCGGGGGCTTATATCGGGGTACACAAACAGGGGTGTGTGTTTTCCCCTGACTTGTG